CCCTAGGGTCCCACGACAAGTGTGAATTTCAGGATCCACAGTCCCCAAGGTCCCATGACAAGTACACACTTCAGAGTTTAGGGTCCACAGTCCTCAAGGTCCCACGGCAAGAATACATCTCAGGATCCAAAGTATTCAGGGTCCCACAACAAGAACTTAAACAAACTAACATTCTGATGAGCAGACTTACTTCTAAATATTCTGCCAACGGATGCCCAGCAACATTGAAAGGGGCAAAACCTATGCAAACCTGTGGACTGTGGTGGTTTTATTGTTAACCAACATAGGTAGGGGGAGCTTCAACACAAGTTAAAAATGAATCATACTATCAATCTCTCCTTCTTTAACCTGACAAATTCATAAAAAATATAGGTAGGTAATAGGTACCTTGCAATTTGTATTGTCATGTCCCTTTCAATTCAATCTTACCTTATCAGTAGGAATGTAGGATAGCACCTTACAGTTATTGAAGACAGACATTCAAGTATTCTTTCAGGCAATATAAAAAAACCAGAAATAAAACCTACAGGCTTCATAGAAATGGAAAAGTTGAATTGGATAGGTATATGCTTTCGATTTTCTGCACATTCAGTTACATAATACCTAGGATAAAAAGTAAAATATGTTCTAAGTCTTGTTTGCGCGAGCGCTCACAGAAAAACTGATCGACTAAGCCAATAGAATTAGAGTATCAGCGAGCGCAAACCTTACTTACTGTTCATTCCCATTAGATTGAAGGCTCTGAACAAAATTCCATCTGACAATTTTTTCGTCAGTTATATTCGTCGGCAGATTTTCGTCTGACTTTTTCGTCTTGCATTTTTTCGTCTGTTCGAGTTAATTTGGTGCATTTTTCGTCTGAGTATTTTTCTGTCCGGCATTTTTTCGTCTGGACGAGGCGGACAATGTCCTTATGAAAATAATGCGCGGACTTAAAAATTGAAATGCACAGACGAACAAATGCATGGACGAAAGTCTGCGGACGAAAATCTGCAGACGAAAAATTGTCCGACGAAAACCTGCTAAACGAAAAAGTTGAACTGTCATGGAATCATTGCTTATATTGCTCATTGCTCAATGGTGTTTTGATGAATTGCAAAACAAATAAGTTTGACACTTACTTGGTCAGTGGGTAGCTTCCAAGTAGCTTCAAGCCCGGCATATCACAACCCAGAAAATGTGAGGTGAGATTAGAAAAGAACTTTCCAAACCACCACTGTCCACTGTTTGACAGTTTCATAATCCATAACATTGATAATGTAAAAAGCTATCAGGTCCCTTGTTCCAGTTCTGCCTCACAGCCATGGCAACGATTTTGCTCTATATGTCTACACAGTCTGGTTCGTTTTCTCTTCGTGTAGCTATCTACCCCCTTGCAGCTGGTCGCTCAACCATGATATTTATTGAAGTGCTTAGGTACAGACAAAACCTAGTGCAGGGTCCTTAGTGGCCCATGTGCAACATAAACCTCATGGTCCAGCTTCCAGGATTCTTGAGGTCCCTCAACAAAATGATGGTGTAGGTCCAGACCGTTCTCCTAAGATCCCATGGCAAATAATAAAACTGGTACTGAAGGTCTGCATTCTGCAGGGTCTTGCAGCATACCAAAATTTTGAGGTCCTAACCCCTGGGTTTCCATGGTTTTACGGCATATGAAATGTTGAGGTCCTGGGTTTCTAAGGTCTCATGTCACATGAAATGTTGATGTCCTGGGATTCCAAGGTCTCACGGCATATGCAAATGTTGAGGTCCTGGGATTCCAAGGTCTCGCGACATATGCAAATGTTGAGGTCCTGGGATTCCAAGGTCTCGCGGCATATGGATGTTTTAAGGTCCTGGGATTCCAAGGTCTCGCGGCATATGGATGTTTCAAGGTCCTGGGTTTCCAAGGTCTCGCGACAAAAATGACAATGCAAGGTCCAGGATCCATCAAGGTCCCAGACCTTGGACTCTGCGAACCCTGGATCTCGGATCTTTTTGGGACCTTGGCACAAGTCTGCTCCATGGTTATATCATGGTCTAGATGCTACACATCTCAACCCGGTACCGATATGCAGGCATCCATGTCATGGCCGTAATATTTCATTTTAGGAGTTATATGGCAACCAAAACTACGTATCGCACCATTGTAACCATACCGCAAGACGCCACCGACCCCAGATCAGTGCAACATGTGCACGATGTGTGCACAGTGCGGATTTCGTTGAGATCACATCCCAACCGGTCATGACTAAAACATTGACCGCGCCGGTCAGCCTCCGTGGGCTTATACAAATCCACTGTCCCAACTACATCCTACGTCCGCATAATTCTGCGGCCGGCCGGGTCAGGTCAACGGCCCGAGATCGGCGGCCCGGCCTCTCTCGCGGTCGCCAAGTCGCGAGAGGACCCGCTCTCATACATATTCTGCATGCTGCACGGTGGTTTCTGCCCATTCTGCCGCGGCCTGGGGAGATGTCAACGACTTCTTGTGGAGAGACTGCTGTTTGACAGTGATTGTGCTGAGCCGTGACTCATGACTGGTTTTAGGATTTTGGAACTTGGGATTAGTTGTGGGATTTACAGGATTAACAGGAAGGATTGGGATCATCTGAGCAGCAAATGTACCGGCTTGTAAACCGTATTATGCACATTGTTTGATGTGTTATATGTAACCAAGTATGTCCATGCATTTCATAGTAGAATGAGGGGAATGGAGTGGCACGCAGTCTACTTTTGACCCAGGACGGTCGATCAATCAACCATTTCATTAGCCGCGTTTACATAGGGCTAGTTGCCAGATAGTGGAATTCCACTAACGAGACATTTTTTCCACTAACGAGACATTTCAGGCACCTTCAGATAATTCTGACGACCTATCCGGCCAGAAGGACCAAACCGATTGACAAAAATAAATACATCGTGGCGGATGAATACTTTAGGCCGAGACATAGTATAGATGTCGCAACTCGCGGCCTTCCCGGCAGTAAGGGCGAGGTATAGATGACGCTACTGCAGCAAGTCACTCACCGTTCCATGCTTCTATCCTCAGGATACTGAAATCCTTCTCCTCCACGCCGCAACTCCCCTCCGGGCTGGACAGGCAACTATCTCATGCGGGCTGCTCCCTTGGAGCGGCACCGCTGCTCCCGAGGGAGCGCACCCCGTAGCCGGGTGCAGTGAGTGCCTTGGGGCTGGGTGGCCTGTCCTCTGGACGGACTCAGCCCCGGCGACTCACTAGGGTGCCTGCCCAGACCAATGTCTCCCCCTATATCCTATCATCCTCCCGGCTCTGAAATGGTCTCATTGGACCGAAAGGGCCTAACCCAACAAAACAAACAAACAAGTCACTGGAACGTGCGAGTCGTGGAATGGAACGGAAGATACGGAACGGGGGCTTCTTAACGGAAGCTTATTCGTTTTATTTTCATTTAAGAATTGATTTCGTGCGCTAGGGAAAGAACATTGTCTTCTTTTTCCTTACGTCTGCACCCCCCCCCCCCCGTCCCTTCCATCCTTTGGATCAGCTAGTGTGCAGCAAGAGGGTTCATCGGAGAAAAACAGCAAAGAGCAATCCTCCCTGAGCCTGTCAGGTCAGAAATAACCTGAGCATAGGCGGCGGAACGGGGAGGGCACCGGGGCACCGTGCCCCCCTTTGATTTTGGCATTTTAACATTAGCCCTATGGGCGCTGCATGGAGAGAATGGGACCAAAAGTCGGCGGTGCCCCCCCCCCCCTTAATTGAAGGTGCTCCGCGGCTACTGAACCTGAGGACCGTTCGTTATGCCCTACTGCCCACGCTTCTTAAAATTTCGTAGTAGTCAGTTATCTGGCCAATGTTTCCGTATAGGGGTTGGCAAACACAACTGAGCCTCGTGAGTGGGATGAGTACTGGACACAGAAGTGGACAATCTGTTGGCAAGGAGCCCGCAAGGATAATATCTCGAAACTCAGGACTACGCATACAAACACTTTAAAAGTATCTAAATCTATACTATAATCGAAAGCCGCATTGTTGTGAACTACCGGCACGTGCGTCCAATCACCATCAAGAACGGAAGTCCGACCTACAGCAAGCACGACAGTCCGATCATAGATGTATTGAAAAATAACTAGCAACTTTAAACATCGCCTTCCTCAGCCACGCTCTACACCGCATCACATAAGAAAACCGCCAATATCGATTACAAAACACACATAAAGGAATTTCGTAGGTATAGATCAGAGGAATACTTCACCTCCTTTATCTGGCGCGTCAATAGGTATAAAGTAATCTTTGGCGTCTACGCACTAGCAACATCTATAATGCAAACAGCAGTTCAGAAACCATCCACTAAAATTGTAACAAGGCAAGGGTTGGTCAAAATAAATTATAGTCACCGTGATAAATAGCAAACGAAATACAGAACAAGCACAACAAAGCATTCCACACTCGTTTAGACTGTACCTACAATATGCCTACATAAGACATTGCAGCAGTGTACAAGGGAAACATTCTTTAAAGATGCTAACGTGAGGAGTTTTAAAAGTTTGGTGAACATAGTTACGAGTCACTGCACAAGAAATGTCGCGGTCGCCAGCCGGCCCAGGCGAAAGAGTCGACGGAGACGGCGTCAAACAAACCCGAGAGGGGGTAGTTTCATCCGCATCAGCGGAGGCGCTCTCTCTACCAAGGTCGTCAGTTACCAGCCGCAGCACCCTGCTGGCGATTTGATAGCGGCTCTCATTCTCAGCTGGCTGAGCGCCATGTGCCGGGTCATCCGGCTCCATGATTTCCCCTTTCATTAGCAGCTGCTGTTGTAGTTATTGTTGTTGCGTTCCTTTCAGCCGCTGCCGCAGCATAGCCGTACGGTTCTGGATGGTTCTCACGGCGGCAGCCAGGGTCACCAAATCCGTCTCCCCGTAGCCACACCAGACTCGGGAAAATGTACCGAGATGTACCGAGCCAATGTTGCAGCACTCGCGGCATTCATCGGTAGGACTCCGCCCAACCCAATGTCGGCACTGGCAGGAGCCCGATCAGTGATCCAAACGAAACTGATGAAAATCGACAGCTGATGAGCGGTCCTCCACTGACGCCGGACGGGTGGCGACGGCGCGGCCGGTCCTGGAGCTGGAACAGCAGAATGGACCGGCCGGGACACGCGGCTCATCAGTCCATTCGTGCTGCTACTCCCCGTAGACCCCAGCTCCTTCGCTGCAGGTTCTCGCGTCTGCCGACCCGTCCGTCCACACCCACGCGGCTCGATAGGGGAGGGGAGGGCAGATATCGTTACGTCGCTTGAAGCAGTTCAGCTGCCGAGGCTCTTTGTCGCAACACCGCCAGCGCCGCGCATCGCAGCAGCACATACCGTGGAGTGCCAGCCTCTTCGCGGCAGACGCGGCATCGGGCAGCAGGGCACTCCACGTCGTTGCATTGTGGGCATCCGGCCTCGGGAGGCGGCCGATGCAGAGCAGGTACTGGCGGATGTCGATAACGACTGCACGGTCGGCCTCCAGGACGGAGCCAGGACAGCGGTCGACCCATATCGACCGGTACCATCCGTCCGGCCAGTTCCGCTGCCAGGCGCGCGCAGCGTCGCGCGCGCGGCTGCCGTGGCGCGCCTGTCGCGCGCGCGCGCCTGCCTTGTAGATAGTGCCCACGTCGATTGGCGCTACCGTTGGGATAGACGGCGGTCGACCCATATCGACCGGTACCATCCGTCCGGCCAGCTCCTCCAACACCGCTCTTAGGGCGAATAGCTCGCCGCGCGTGCTAGAGCAGAGGGCGCCTGCCGCGACACGCACCTCTCGGATGTCGCGGTTCGGGGGGGGGGGTGGCCCCTCCTCCTCCATCTAGCACACCATCGGTGGCGGAGCTGTCTGACCAGATCAAGCTCGCCTCAGACGGGAGCTCCGCCAGACGACTTTCCGCCGCCTTGGCTCGCCAGCCGTCGCGCCCAAACTCGCTTCAGGCCGTGAGTCTATAGCCGGCGCGGTGGCGTGGCTTCGCCATGGTAGCCTTGGGCGGGTTGTCCTCAGAGAACGCATTCGCATTGGCGAGGAGGCGAGCAGCGCCACGAGTCCTGAAAAGACCAAACAATATCAATACATAATGTAGACAATCAAAATTGTAAAAATTGGCATTAACTGCGCAACTGATGTTTGCTTGTTTGTTTATTAGGGTTTACGGGCGCTGCGGTGGTCATTTTGCACCCATGAAGCTGTTCTGGTGAACCTGCGCAACTGAGCAGTGATCATGCCATAACTTATGTTTGGCGTAGTGGCAGGGTTCCACCTAAAATTTCGGCGCACGTCAGGTGTAACGTCACATGCGACAAATTCAGCGCATGTCAGTTGGGCAAACTAAGGCTGATGGAATAATATCAAACGAGGGCACCAAAAATTGATCCTAAATGACCATAATTGGACATTAATGCAGACCCTCTCTGTATCACCAATTGTCAGAAAACAAGCAGGTGTTTCAAGGGGCGTTAGAGAGTCATGAACCCAGGATAAAACACAGTGCTATTTTCTCAAAACAGTTTGTACATGATAGTTAGGTAACTCTCTCTCTCTCTCTCTCCGTTTACCATTTGCAAGGCCAAAAAGGCCAATTGGTTTTGAAAGACATTGGATTACAAGCTGAGCATTTTTTACTTTATCATAAAATGTTAAACCTGCGTGTAGATGAAGTCTGAACGGTGGTTTGTAGGCTGATAGGTTGGAGGTAACAGGTTGAAGGTTAGTAGGGAAGGTAAGGTCAGGATAATTTCTGCTTTTTATTTTCATTGGACTTCAGTCTTCATCAACACACGCATCAAAAATATCATCTATTTGAGCATCTTCAAGCCTCAATATACAAGTTGTACCACAACAAATTAAAATTGATGTCATGCCAACATATGGTCATGATTTTTACCACCAGAATTGAATTAAATGCCTATTGATGCTTTACCTAATATTTTGAAGCCTGAAATCTGATTAACCAAACATTTTTTTTTCTTGTGTTGGCAGTCTAAAATTTGGCTGGCTTGAGCGCGATGCTATTGCTCTAGCAGAATCTCAAACGGATGTCTACCAAGTGCCACTCCCAAGAAAGTTTCTCAAGATTCTAAAACCACAAACTTAGTTGATGCCTGATCGTGTGATGGTAAATCAAATACCTAATAGCACTCCATCTGAGGCCAGTTTTACAAACAGAAAATAGCCACCTGCCGGATTATTTTGCCTAAAGGCTAATTCATATATGGAGTGTAAATGGTGAAGCCCTCCCTGCTTACCTACATGCCTCTCGCGTTTACCCTCTGTATGTTGTACCTACGTGGAATGGATATATGAGGAGAAAAATTCCAGGCAGCTATTTTTGTTGGTAAATCGGGTAAAGTAATACTGGCCTCTGAACGAAAATTTGGACTGAGTGAGATCTGTCGTTTCTTTGGTGGTTTGGATAGGAGTTGATGATTTTAATTGAAAGATTAAAAGGAAAGGGTTTCAAGACAATCGGCATGACAAACCAACACCTTACCTGCAGTTCAAGTTTGTCGATTCATCAAAATCTAGTCTTCGTCTAGTCCACAAATCAAGATAAAATTACTAGGAATCTTGAAAATTACTGGATAGGTACAACTTCTTCTTCTCCTCCTTCTGCACCTCACCTGCCACCCCCTACACTTCTACCTTATTCTGATAAATATCTTTACATAATTTTCACAAGAATGCCACTCAACGGGTTACGGGGTAGATCTAAAAGAGTGCAGTGCTTCAGTTTTGACTTGAGCTATAGAGTTCTCAGTGATTTTGAGACACCCAATATGTCTTTGGCACGCCGTATTTGTCTCTCACCGCCTGCGAATTCGGCGATATGATTGGTGGAAGGCCGAGGCTATGGGTCCAAGAAAAGGCCAAGATTCCTGCCAAGATTCTTACAGATAGCCAAGGCCGATGACTGACGTGACTGACGGCATGTTACTGCCCTTGGCATATTGCCAATGCACTGCTCCGTCATATCCGCAGTAATGTCAACAGTCATATCGGAAGTAATATGGTAGCTATACGCAAAAACCATTTGGTGTATGGCTACCATACTTTTCCGATAACGAGACATTCTAAATCAATCTCTCTACTGTGGCGACATCTGCTGAGAAATCCCAAGACCGAGCGCAAGCACATAAAAGTAATGCACTCTATGGATGCGTTCGAAATCTGGGAAGTGACGGATTTCATTTCTCAATGCGTGTCCCAGCCTTCCCCATGCTGTTCGTTCCGCCTGCCGCCATCTATTGCCATGTTTCGCATTCGCACTTCATGAATTGACCACCCCGCCAAGTAGGTTGGTGTCAAGTTGGTATAGGTGTCGCATTGCTCTGGTCGATCAGGCTGAGCCAGCTGTCTGGAGAGTGGAGCCGATCAAAAGAAAAAAAACGCAGAAATTCAAAAGACCGACTCCAAAGCAATGGCAGCATGCATATCAATAGAACGTAATTCTGTCATGATTGCGTCAGAAGCAAACATAATGGCAAGAGTTTCTTGTGTGTCGGTAGGCGCGTGTGGAGCCGCTGGACCGACCGGGGACGTACCCAAGGGGGGACGGACGGGGTGCGCCTCCCCCTAGGGGTTTCAGGGCCCATGCTGGCAGAAGGCCCACGTTGGCCAAAATCACGTCGGAGACGAACGAAATTCATGGGAATCCCCCAAAAAATTACGTCAGGACAATCAAGGCTCTCCGACTCGCCTGCCACCTAGGGTCCTTCAATTTACTACATGGGGCCTCCTGTGAATAACCGCTAGTGTCTGTGTCTGACCACTAGGGCCCCTCTGACTCCTCGGGTAGAGGGCCCTCTGTAGGTAGGAGGCTCTCTCTACGGGATTCCTCCGCTCCCCCCCCCCCTCGGCCAAATTCTAGGTTATACCTGCCTGCGCTAAGCCGGAGTCGGAGAGAGGAGTTGACGACCGAATGACAAGGAGTACTCGTCCTGAAAGTAAACATTTGGAATACAAACAATCCAAAGCTGTTCAGTATTTATTAGTGATGTCAATTATAGAAAATATGAATACCAATTCCAAACCAAATACCAACATAAACCGTGAAGAAATACCGATACCGAACCAACTTCATAACATGAGGGAAATACCGACTTTTAACCAATTTCTCAGCCTCTTATACATAAGTGAGGGTTCATAATACCAACAAAATACCAAGTACATTAGGATTGAAATACCAAATACCAAGTTGGTATCGGTTTTGTATCGGTATACCAAAAAATTGGCATGCGATTGACATCTCTAGTATTTATATCATTCGAGAGCAGTGCCTTCAATTTGGATACACTTAGCATTCATTTCCCACACCCGTGTACACTCCACGAAGGCTTCTCCGCTGCGGACTCCCGCTTCCGCCGATGCGTCAGTTCATACCCTGATGGCTTGCTGGGGAGGGTGGCCAAGTGTCGCTGTGCCGCCAGGTGTAGTTCATCAGCCGAGGCGTCGCGCTGCAGTGCCCCGATGTCCAGCCTGAAGGTGAAGTCTGGGAAGGCGGCCACCTCCCACGGCGGCGCACTGGCATGCAACCAGCGGGGTCGAGCGGCAGGGCGATCCCAGCCGCTCGCCAGGTTTCGTGCCCCACCCTACGCCAGCCCGTCATCGACTTCAGTCGGCTGGGCGGCCCATCTTCCGCGATAGTCCTGAGGGCTTGCCCTCGGGGAGCGCGTGCGCCTTGGCGAAGAGCTTCGCTACCAGCACGTCTCGCCGGGCGGCCAGCGGGCACCGGCATCAGTCTGGCCTCCGCCATCACTGCGTGGGCTGGGGGTAAACAAGGGGCAGCCGGTGATATACGGGTCACCTCCCGCATCTCCCTCTGGAGGAGTTCCACGTGGGATTGTGGCGTCACCAGGAGCCAGGTGGCGGCCGCGTGCACCAGCACTCCACGGACGTATCCAGACGCTACAGCGCAGAGCTGTCGTTCCTCTAGTCCCCAGCCCCGCGCTGTCAGCTTGCGAAGCTGCTGGATCCCGGGCGCACTCGGGAGCGGAGACTGCGGCAATGGGCCCCGAAGTGAAGGGGCAGGTTGAGGGGGTGGCTCCGAGTAGTTTGAGACGGTCGGCTGCTGGAGCCGACTTTTCGTCGACTTTGATGGCGCAGTCCACGGCGTCCGCGGCGCTCTAGGAGACGACGAGCAGCTGCGTATTTCACCCGCTACCAGCATCTTGGACTGTTTTGCCCAGCGCAACACAGCGTACGTCGCCTGCCGCGTCCGGCCCCAGTTCAGTATCGTCTGTTTCCATTAACACTCTAAATGACAAAATAATTAGCCATTTAAATCAAAGTTCAGCACTGACGAAGTTTAACCAAACTTGCCATTTCAACATAACACAGTGAGCTGTCAGAATGCTGTTCTTTTGTGCTTTGACACAGTTGCAAAATAGGTACCTTCATACGTATATCATAGAAGTAATTCCTGGTTATTATTATTGGAGGATTTTTTCGCAGCATTCTCGTCAAGTAAAATACATTATCTTCTTTATAAGGACCATAGTGTGAGGTGTAAATACAGTCTGTAAGGTTGTCCAGACTAATTGTGCCCCTATTTGTACGGCCTGGGCTGGAGCATGTACTGTTGGCATGTTTGCACGTCCACTTTGGATTAATCTGGCATGCTAAGCGAATGCGATGGCAGCGCCTTGCATTGCTTGCATGCGGTGGTTGGCATTGTTGGGAAGTGTTCTAACTATCTGTTTGTCCCGCTTTGCCCACAGCGTCGACTGGGTTGAATATACTTGTATTTCTGAGTGAACAGTTTCTCACATTTGGAGGCAGCCATTCAACCCAGTCTAGAACCCTTTCTTGCTTCCGAAGACGCTTGAGGTGGCAGAATTCCAGCAAGTCAATGAGTTTTTGTGATAGCGTGGAGGAAAAAGTTCAAGCACTCTCTTTAAAGTAGCGGCCAAGGAGCCACGGACACAGGACATGGCGTGTGCCCCTGTTAAGCCAGACAGATTTAATGGATCTGGTGATGTGGAAAGATTCTTGGCCCATTTTGAAGTGGTGTCAAAAGCCAATGAGTGGTCAGAACAAAAGCAGTTCCTGCAGCTCCCTGCCTGCCTGACTGGACCAGCTTTTGATTTTTATCGCCAGTTGCCTGCCATGGAGTGTACTGACATTCACACACTGAAAAAGGCGCTCAAAGCTGAGTATCATACACCAGCTCTCCCTACAGATTATGCCATCATGCTGTCCAAGCGTTCACGCATGCCTGGAGAAACTGTCATGCAGTATGGCGAGGCTTTGAAGAGCCTTGGCAGGAAAGCATATGCTGCCTTCAGTGAAGAACAGTTGGGAGCTGTTTGTCGCTCCACATTTCTGAACAATGTTGATGAAGCTATGAGAGTGCAGTTGCTACTGACCCTGAAGGAAACAGAAAGTTACAGGGACCTACTGCAAAGAGCTCGACAGCTGGAGCAGGTAATGGGACCTCGTGTACGTCATATTGAGGAACAGTCTCAAGAGCACCGCCTGGAGGATGAGGTATCCAAGCTGTCCCTGGTTGTGGCGAATCTGGAGAAGAAGGTGGATGCACTCCAGGCAGGACGACAGGAAAGGACTCACAGACGTTCACCGCCGGGGCCGTGTCCGAACTGTGGCCTGGAGGGACACTGGCGTAGGGAATGTACCAAGCCCAGTAAGGATCGACAGCAGACAAGTGCTGCAGAGGTTATTTGCTTCAAATGCAATACGCCTAGACATTTTGCTAAGGGCTGCGCGGCCCATTTTCAGTAGGCGCGGCTGGCGGGGGTGGGCGGAGAGTGATTCGTACCTCTGTACGTCCGCTTTACCCCGAGTCGGCCGCGCCTTGCAGCTGGAGCGCGGATTACCTGAACGGTGATGTTGTGTCGTCCTCCGTATGGAGGCCGGCCGCGGCGGCCCGCGGCTCGTCGGTGCGTGGATCTTGGAGCCGGCCCGCTCCGGCCGGCGGCTCGTCGGCGCTGGAGTCCAGTAGCGCGCCTGCTGCGGCCGGCGGCTCGTCGGTGCGTGAATCCTGGAGCGCGCTCGCTACGGCCGTCAGCTCGTCGGCGCTGGAACCCTGGAGTCCGCCCGCTGCGGCCGGCGGCTCGTCGGCGTTGGAGTCCAGTGGCGCACCTGCTACTCTCGACTACTCGTCGGCACCGGATCCCCGTGGCGCGCCCGCTGCGGCCGGCGGCTCGTCCGCGCTGGAGTCCAGAAGCGCGCCTGCTGCGCTCGGCTGCTCGTCGGCGCCGGACCCCGGTGGCGCGCCTGCTGCGGCTGGCGGCTCATCGATGCTGGAACCCTGGAGCCCGCCCGCTGCGGCTGGCGGCTCATCGATGCTGGAACCCTGGAGTCCGCCCGCTGCGGCCGGCGGCTCGTCGGCGCTTGAGTCCAGTGGCGCGCCTGCTACGCTCGACTGCTCGTCGGCGCCGGACCCCCGTAGCGCGCCTGCTGCGGCCGGCGGCTCAACGGCGCTGGAGCCTCGGGGCGCGCCTGCCGCGGCCGGCGGCTCGGCGCTGGAACCTCGGGGCCCGCCTGCTGCGCTCGGCTGCT